GTGCGCAGGTGAGTACAGCAGCCTGCCCATGGGGAAGGTGTGGGACTCCAGCACCATGCCCAAAAAACAGCTCCTCTGCAGTTTGAGGATTTAACCTGGTACTGCTGCACTGAAACTTCTGTTCAGTCAATAGTTACTTCTGGAGTGTTCTGTCTGGTTGCAGTTTGTGGGGCATAAGGCTGCATGTGTTGCTTTGGGAATAAGTGGGTGGAGGAGTGAAGCAAACAGCATTTCAGGCCTTGTGGCTGTGCTGTAGCTCAGGTGGCAGTGGTCCTGCTCTCACATCCCCTCAGTGATGAGACGATGACGAGTCAGAAGCGGGTGGCTCTGGTGGCAGTACCTCCACGGTGTCACGTTCTGTGGTGCTGCGTGAGGTCCTCCAGCAGTAGCCTCCTGTCACCAGTGAATGATCTAGAGGCATTTGTCTGAGAAGGGATGGGAGCTGCACTGCTGACATGTGAAACTGAGGTTGGAATCGTGGTAGAATTCCTCTGGAAGCCCTGTGGGTCTGGCAGAGCGGGCTCATGGCTTGGCTGTCCTCCCTGCAGAGCCTGCTACGGTGTCCTCCGCTTCATCATGGAGAGCGGGGCCAAGGGCTGTGAGGTCGTTGTGTCCGGCAAACTCCGAGGTCAGCGGGCCAAATCCATGAAGTTCGTGGATGGCTTGATGATCCACAGTGGGGACCCAGTGAACTACTATGTGGACACAGCCGTGCGTCACGTCCTACTCCGGCAGGGTGAGTGCCTGGCATGCAGATCCCTTTGCAGCTTTGTCAGGTTCCTTCTCTAGAGTTGCAGAGACAAAAAAATCTCAGCTCCTGGCATCCCCTTCCTGCAGGTTGGAATTTCCCGATGGCACGACTGGCATCCTTGGGTTGAAACTTACATGGTTTTTGATGTGCTTCTGATCTCACAGAGTAGTTTAGTTGGGCTGCTGTGGAGGGTTCAGGCTCTGAAAACTCTGTTTTCCTGGGCTTTTGCAACTGAACTCGCTGTGGGATTTGAACATTACATCTAAAGCAGAAGTCATTTGGGAATGGAAAGCCAAGGGGCCTTCAGCAGCCAGTGTGGTTCTACCAGGTTATCCACTTCTCTGCTGATAGGGTTTGAATGTTTCCAGTTGGGAGTGTGGCTGTAGATTCTCCAGACACTCATTTGTGTCCTGGGACCTCTAAGGCTGGTGATAATTTCCAGATGAAGTACCTGTTGCCTGGCTTTAGGCACCCTTGGATTCTGGTTTTCCTGCCTCCTCAGGATGGGCAGAGAGAACCGGGGTGCTACAAGTGTTAGATTGTCTTTCCAGCTAAACCTGCTTCCACTTGTTCTCCCTTCTGGTGAAACACAAATGATTTGTGTTGACTTAACTGGCTTGGGGTTAATCAGTTGCAGAACTCCTGGTGTGGGGGTACCAACTCAGCCAGAGCTGTTCTCCACCTTCCCTTCGGTGATGATACGATGACGAGTCAGAAGGGACATCCTCGTGTCACTGCAGCCTGCTCTGTGCCACGTTCTGTGGTGCAGTGCTAAAGCTGCCTTGGCCAGGATGTCCTGCTCATTGGATGATTTAGAGGCATTTGTCTGAGAAGGGATGTAAAAAAAAAATTTGAATTTACTAGAAAAATGAGCTGAGGAAGAGAACAGAGTCTAAAACCAGGTTTAGAATGAGTTGAGGATAGAACTGCAATCAGCCAAGGCAGTGAGTTTAATAACTTTCGCTACCCAACTTTTAAGTTGCCTGAATTTACAACACTGATAAAAAGTCACAGTAATTAGATTTTAAGCTGTAGCAGGTGAGTGCTACAGTGTTGTCAGCAGATCTTCAGTGTAGAGAGAGATATTTTGTAACATCGGTGCTCATCCCTATGAACTTGATCTATTTTATGTCTCGCTTGTCCTGTCACTCTGCAGGAGTACTGGGAATCAAAGTAAAGATTATGTTGCCTTGGGACCCCAGTGGAAAGATTGGCCCCAAAAAGCCTCTGCCAGACCACGTCAGCATCGTGGAACCCAAAGAAGAGATTTTGCCCACCACCCCCATTTCAGAGCAGAAAGGTGGCAAACCAGAACAGCCAGCCATGCCTCAGCCAGTGCCCACTGCCTGAGGGGTAAGTGCCTGGGAGCAGTGGGAGGCAGGTGTGCTGAGGATCCATGTAAAAAGGTTTCAGGCCACCAAAAACACAGAGCTGGGATTTTGGGAAGACAAGCCTCCTGTATTGTGGACCAGGGCTGGGTTTGAGCATTGCACAGGGTGAATGGCACAGGGTTCAAGGCATGTGGCAGAGCAGCTCAGAACACTCCTCTGGAGATGATGGATCTGTCCACATGCCTTGTTCCATGTTGTGTTATACAGCATGGATTTGGAGACCTTGGGTTATTACAGTTGGAGTAACTTGGGTTGGGTGCCTTGGATGTGTTGATGTTGTACTAGTGTGCAGCTGGTACAACACAGAGAATATATTCCTCATATATCCATCCTGTCCTGCCCCAGGATCCAGTTTGGGATAGTCTTAGAGGCCACATGAGAACAATTTATAGGCTGCTTTTGTAAGGAAGTCTTACCAAGGAGTCTGGTGAGATCTGGCTCAGTGGGAAAAGGGAGGATCACTGGCCAAGAAACAGGAAATGAGAAATGCGATTTAATTGGAAAGTTTGGTTTGATCTTTCTTTGGGATAGGATGATGGTTATGGAAAGCAGTTTGTCCCCAGCTCACTGAGTGTTTTGTTTCTCATTGTAGGGTTTGTAACATCTGCAACCAGAAGCTTGTCTGTCCTGAAAACATCTCTTAATAAAATCACAAAAGGCAGTGTTTGTGAAAGTGCTTTTTCTTTTTTCTTTTTTCTTTTTTATTTTTAATTTTATTTTTATTTTCTCAAGATGTACTTCAGGAAGACCTTGCTCCCACCTCTGGTGTGGAAGGAATTCTGTTGCTGTGTTCCCCTTCTGGAGTGAACTTCACCAGCTCCTGATCCAAACCAAGTGGGAATAAAGCACTGATGCCTGTGACAGATAGAGCTGGAGCAGCAATCCCATGTTTAGAGGGTCATGAGTAACACATAGTCCATGGAGTACTGGTGGCTGTTCCTTACATCCCAGTCCCTTATCCAGTGCTTCCAGAAGAGGGAGCTTTTTTGGCAGTATCCAGGCCAGTGTAGCTTCTGTTAGGGTCAGGTAACTTTGGGTGTGGATTTGTGGGGTCAGAGCAAAAGTGACACTCAGGATGTCAAATCTTCTGTCTTAACCTGTGAGGTGGGAGTAGCTGGTGGAAGTCTGGTGCAGGAATGGGAAGATACAGGCACATCATAGGAGATCATGTATGTGCAGGATCAAGGATTTAAGATTTTGAGGAATTCAAAGCCTGTTTGTGGAATGCAAGCTTTGCTGTTTAGGAATAGCTTTCACATTCACATTTCCGTTTTTAGGAGGTTGCTCTGCAGGAACTAGGCTGGCAGCTTAGGAACAGGAATTTCAAACTGGTCTGTCTAGGGAGCCTTGGCCTTGCTGTTCCCAGCTCCTCTGGCACACCTGGGATTTTGGCTGAGTTTCAGAAGCAAGATGTGCCTTCTTAAAGACAGAGATTTCAGGTTTCTGTGTGCACCATTCAATGCAAAGATTTAAATGGTTAATATAAATACTAGACTAATGCCAATGCTAATTTTTTATATGAATTTGAATGTGGAAATAATCTGAAAATATAAAAGATGACAACGCAGTTCTGTCAGATCATAGGGGCAGGAAATGTGTGAAAGTGGGGAGATCTGAAGCAATAAAAGTCACCCAGTTTTGCATGTTGTCTCTAAATTCCTAAATATACTGTGTGGTAGATGGTGATGGTTAGAAATGTCTCCTGCTGCCTCCCAGGGAGGGATGGATTTCTGGGAGATAGTTCCACTTCTTCCTGATTAAAAGCTCTCCAACCTTGTCCATTACCCTGTTAAATTCACAGTGCTGATCACTGGTAGTGTCAAGAGCTCTGCAAATAATGGGGAAGAGAAGGCTCCAGGCAGAGCTCAGAGCCCCTTCCAGTGCCTAAAGGGGCTCCAGGAGAGCTGGAGAGGGACTGGGGACAAGGGGTGGAGGGACAGGACAAAGGGAATGGCTTCCCATGGCTGGAGGGCAGGGCTGGATGGGATATTGGGAAGGAATTGTTCCCTGTGAGGGTGGTGAGACTGTGGCTGCAAGTGTGAGCTGAACATCTTTTCCATGTGTGTTGGTTGGAGTTACCACCACCCTGAGTTGTTAAAGCTCCAAAAGAGGAGAGAGCTCATTCAGTTCCATGTGTCTTTTGGATGCTTCCCTTGGAGAGAAGCCTTAGAAGATGACGTGGGGGTAGGATGAACTTAGGAACTCTGGAAAGCTTAGTTTCAGTATTGCTACCCCAGGTTGGTGTGTTCCTGCTCTAGTTGGTGCTGCAGGTGGCTTCTGTAACTCCAATTTAAAGAAAATTAGGAAGCACATGGTGCTTTTCCAGTGTGGGAGGAGCTCCAAACTGGATGTGTGTGCTTGTTCAGTCCCAGGGAAAAAGGGACGTGTCTGTACCTTTAATTTTGCTCGTGAGTGAGTGACAGAAGGTTCATCCCTTTCCAGGAGTGGGAGAAAATGGATGAGCAGAGTCTGTTAGTGGTGGATTTTCCACCTGGGAAAGGTATCTTTAGCCTGCAGATTTTTCTGCTATTTCTCCAGTGGATCCCAGCTGGAGGAGCTTTGGCTTGGACAGTCAGGAAGCCTGATCCCTGTGACTGACAGCTCTTTTTATTCTGCTAAATGGCCCAGCAGGACAGGGCTGTTGGTCCTTTACCTGTGGAGCATTTAAGGTGTTGGATATTTGCAGTTTCAGGAGAAAACAACAAAGGGAAAAGCTGCTAAGAGCGTTCCTTCTCACGATTGATGTGCATTGAGTAATTTTTGTCCATAGTTGCCACTTTAGGGTGTTTTAGATTTAAGGATTGCAAGGAACCTCCCTAAGTTTATTTTGCTCTACAAGGGATTCCAGCTTCCAGGGATTCATTGAAAAAAGTTTTATTGCAAAATTACACAACTGTCACTGTGTGGTACAAGAACAAACAATAAAAGCCATCAGACACCTGCATCCACATGATGCAAATTATTCACAATATCCCACAGTGTGTTCTTGCCTTGTCCACCCCTTCCACCCCAGCCTCCAGAACGTTCTGCGTGTGGGTTCAGTGCACTGCATCACCGAGAAGTGTCCCATGTTTGGGGACATTCCTGGCATTGCCTCCCACCTCCCAGCACCTGGGACTATGCAGTACTGGGCTTCTATGGCAGCAGGGAAAATTGGCAGGGAGATAAAGCCAAGCCATTTAGGTGCTCCATGCTGGTTTCAGAGAACTGGCAATTCCATTGGGATGCATGGATTTTCCTCATTTCTGTAATCTCAGTGTTTGCCTTGTGATGTCTCTCAGTGCGTGGCAAATGCTGTAGTGCTCCTGGGAGATAACATCAGCTCTTTTAAATAGTACTGACCTGATGATATCCCTTGAAGTGAAGTTAAGAATAGCCTGGATCAGGCTGTGAAACCTGCTAATTATCAGACATAAATATAACTATAAATACCTTTGCTTTTCAGGGTCCCCTTATCCAGGTCAGCAGACAGGGAGCTGAAGTACCATGGAGCTTCAGCAGAGCATAATTAGGAAGTCAGGTAATGGCAGCTTTAAAGCTTTGTGTTTAAATAAGCAAGAAAGTGGAGGTGAACCTGATCCCACCTCCCTGTGAGAAGCCAGTTAGGAGTGCCTTGGGTCAGCTCCACAGGGAACCAGGTGTGGGAGAACCCTGGCAGTGGGAATGGAGTCTTTCCCAGCCCTACAGGCTGATGCAGAGCACTTCCAAGAGAATGAGTTCTCTGCCTGGTACAACTGCCTGTTTAATTACAGGTGATGGCCCCTCAGTGATCCCAAGGGGTGGAGTGTTGAAGGAATCTCAGGTTATTCTTTCTAGAAACCCAAGCTGTGCTTTGGGCTCTCCCTGACATCCCAAAGCTTCCTTAGTTCTCCATCAAGTGTTGACCCAAGGTGCTGTTGACTTTGATGCTCTCCCTAAGGAGCTCTTGTGGTCAAAGCATCGAGCGCAGAGCACAGGGTTAGGCAAGACAGAAGAGCACAATGCCATACAATCTCCATTCTCCTGTGCTGCCTCCTGCTCTGCTCCAGGGCCCTGCAGGGGCTGGAGTGCACAACTGGCCCTTGGAGCTCTGTTACATACCTCTGGAGAGAGAAGAGAGAAGCAGGGAACAGCTCTAGAGCAGTGTCAAAGGGCACCCAAGCAGGAGAAAAGCGGCAGCGCTAAGCGTGCAGTGGGATGGAAGCGTTTGGGATGGGAGAGTGGTGCCTTGGCAGGGCTGGTGGAGCAGCAAGGAACTGAGCAGGAGGCTTAACCAGTGCAGGGAGGAACTCGGCTTCAAGGTGGCCACCTCAGCTGACTCCTGGTGACCCTCTGGTGCCAGGCTCCCCTGCTCCTCTCTGGAGGTGGGTTTGTGCAATCTGGATTTTGGGGTGAGGTAAAGTGTATGCTGGTTTCTCCTCACAATGCACCCTGGTCTGAATAGCACCCATGGTTCGAGAAGGATACAAAATAGTGTTTCCCATTTGTCAAAATGCCCCCCTAAAAACACACACAAACCAAAGCTCTGGGAAAAAACAACCCAACCAAAACAAACCCAACTACAACTCATCACGCATCTTGTCACCTTTGGGCCTCACGAGCCTGCCGATGAAGAGGATAGAATTGGTTTTAGTGTCCTTGATCATGAAGATGAAGGGGTGGTCAGCATAGAAGAGTTTGGGGTTCCTCATCTCCTCTCGGCCATAGATGTCGGCATCATAGGGGTTCCCTTCCGTGTCCCATTCCAGAGCCGCGGCATGGAACACATTGGACAGGTAAAGGTCTTTCTTGCCGGAGATCTTGGACAAGTCAGCCTTGGTTTTGTCAATGGCTTCTGTCAGGCCCAGACCACCTAAGTGTTTCTAGGAGGAGATAAGAGGTCAGCAACCCTCCTGGAGATGACACAGTGCAAAAGGGAAGAGGGGCAGCAGGCATGGATAACTCACCATGCCACTGTCTTTCCCCCCATCCCAAAGAACTGTAAGGCCCAACTGTTTAAGGACCTCCTTTACCTGAAGGTCGTGGCTGACTTCCAGGACGACTTTTGGCAGCGAGATGGCTACTGATCTCTTCTTCATCTTGCCAGTCCATGTCTTGAGCTGCTCCTTGTTCAGCAGTTTCTCCACTCTCTCCAGAGGTTCCACGTGGTTTGGCATGATGAAGATCATGCTGGAGAGCTTGTGGGCCAGTGGCATCTCTACCACCTGGAGCTTCTCTGCCTCATCATCGTAGTAATTGTAGAGACCTTGAAACAGAAGCAGGGAGCAGTGAGGTGTGGAGCAGAGGCAAAGTGAATTCAACCTGGACTTTCCCTGACTAGGAAGGGAAGAGAGTCTGGACACCCTTTTGGGAAGTGGCCCAGCATTATTGGAGTTGGCTGTGTATCTCCTTTGGATAATGAGCCAGGATTTGGTCCCAACAGCCAAGCACTTCCTAGTAAATGTGGATTTTGTCTGCTCACAGGGAAACTGAATCAGTAAAACAAACACTCCCCTGCTTTGTTCTCTCTCATGAGGCAAAACAATCTTGGAAGCAGCTGGTGGAAATCTGGGTAATGGAGAGCAATGATCCAGCTGGTCTTGGTGTGGGCCAGGGGGTTTCCCACTCACCTGTGCGGTGCATCATGGGCACACCCACGGTGTAGGAACGGGTCACCATGAAGCCACGGTTGTCCACCATCTTATGATGGAACTTCTCATCCCAGTGAGCTACAGGAGAGAGAGGAACACAGCTCGTAAGAAAAGAGAATGGGTGGTAAGTGCATGCACAGTTTCCAACCACTGACAAACAACTGGCTCCAGTGGACCTAGGATTTGTCCACGTTCCCTTGGCCCCTCACAACCCAAACTGTTCCATGATTCTGTGTGTTGGCTCTGGAGAGGTTTTGGGTCACTTGTACCAAAAACTGAAGGTAGAACTTACGCTTGAAGAACATGGCATTGACGATGAGGGCCCCATCAGTTTTCTCCACATCTTTGGTGACCTCCGGGAGTTTCCCATCCGTGGTCTGCGCTGCCCACTCGTTGATGGACTTGAGGGCGCTCCTCTTGTCTCGGAAGTTGATCTTGGAGTGCTCATAGTTGTAGTGCTTCTTGCTGTTCTTCACAAAGTCCTCGGCGAAGGTGATGGAGGCGGGGCCGTAGAGGCGGTTGCCGATCTTCCAGGTGACGTTGCGGGCCGTGCTGTTGCTGACCTCGCTGAGGAGCTCGGACAGCCCGCTGTGCACGTAGTCATCGTTCAGCTTGTCCGCGCTCAGCACCGCCTTGGCCTGCGAGGCCGTCGTGGCCTTGCCCCCGAGGGACACGAGCCCCAGGGATGAGGCCACGACCACGGGGGACAGCAGGATGTTCTCCATGTCCTTGTCTTTGGCCATGGCGTGGTAGAGGTTGAAGGCCAGTGTGGTGCTGCGCTCGGCCAGCGTGGTGGCCTTGTCGCTCAGCTTCCTGTCCTCCGAGGGCACGGCCGCAGCGAGGCCCAGGAGGGCCAGCCCCATGATAATCCACATGGCTTCAGCAGCACCCAACACCTCCCAGGACCTGCTAGGCAAGAAAATTCACCATCAGCGTGAGCCAAAGCCTTCCTGGAGCATCCAGAGATCCCAGGGTCTCTTCCAGAGAAACACACTCCAGTGACAGTGACCTTGCCCCAACACTTCATGGGGGTGCAGCCATCCCAAGTCCACCCTGAGAAACAATCTTCAGGAGTGCAGGCTGCATGCTGGCAAGCAGGGCCTGTGCATTTGGAATTAAAACTTCGTTCCTAAGCAGTTTCCCAATATTAATGTACAGTGGATGGTTTAAGGAAGGGTCAGGGAATGTAAGCAACAGGTATTTCTGATGTAAACTACGGCAAGGGGGAGTGGCTTTAAAGTGAAAGAAGACAGGTTTAGATTGGACATTAGTAAGAAGTTCTTCCCTGTGAGGGTGGTGACAGGTTGCCCAGAGAAGCTGTGGCTGCCCCTGGATCCCTGGAAGTGTCCAAGGCCAGGTTGGATGGGGCTTGGAGCAGCCTGGTATAAGGGAACGTGTTTCTGCTGCCCATGGCAAGTGGGGAAAAAGGTAGTCTTTAAGGTCCCTCCCAACCCAACCGCTCCATGATTCTGTCCCCAGAGCAGAAGAAACCTCTGCCCTGATCAGAAAAAGCTGAAAAACTTTTGTGCTGCCCTTTGATCTAAGGGCTGTTGCAGGCACTGCATGGCAAGGACCGTCCTCTCTGGGGACCCTGGCCTGGGCCCCAAATCCTCAGATTCCTTGGCACTAGATGGAGCACGTGAGCTTCCACCAAGCAAAGCCAGAGGCGGCCCCGGAGAAGATCCTGCACTGTCTGATCAGCTCTGTTCAGCTTTGGTTTGCCTGTCCAGCCCTGCCGGGGAGGTACTGCGGCAGAGGGAGGTGGGGGAGCCTCGTTTTCCTCAGCAGAGCCTTCAGTTCATGCTTGAGGTAGGTGGATCTCATCCCAACGTAGGTGACCCCACCCGAGCGAGGGCTGTGAGCCCCCAGCTCCGGTACATGTGCAGTCCTGAGTGCCTGGAAGCCCTTTGGGGCTCATCCCACCTGGCCCCACACCTCCCCTCCCTCCTGCCTTCACTCAGCAAACCTTCCTGCAGGAGCTGGCCTTAAATTCCCCTTCCAGCCTTTGGGGGACTTTTTCCTCCACATCACTGCCCTGCAGTCCTGTTCCTTGGTGGTCCTCTCCTCCCACCCTGCTCCTGCCCAGCCTCAGGGGCTGTCCCTGGCTTGGGGAAGCAGGGAATGGCTGCAGCAGGGTTAAAGTATCCCGAGCAGGAAGCGAAGGGCCCGCTGGGATTACACATGGAAGGAAACACGCAGCACGTAGCCCCGGGCGAAGCGAGTGCGCAGTTCCACCAGGCACCCTTTGCCAGAGCAGGATTTACGTAGCCTCGGAGAGGGAGGCGATTACAGCCTAAAATCCTTTATGGGAGCAAGGCTTCTGTTAAAGGGAAGAGCCATCCTGAATGCCTCAAGAGCAAAGATTTGTGCAACAAACTCAAAACTACTCTCGACGCTCTAGAGTGCAGCCAGGGTGACAAACGTTGGAAGTCTGAGGAGGTTCCTTCTGGTTTTCTATTTATACCGTTTATTTCTAAGGATACCTTGAAACTGTTTCATAGTGAGGTCAACGTTTGCCTTTTTCTTTCTGAAAGAAAACAGATACATGGAGTAGTTCTCTTGTGAGCAGGGGGTGGCCTGCACTGCTTCATCCTCAGCTTAAAAAAACGTTCATTACTTCAGGGCCAGGTGACAGATTTGGGCTCTGCTGAGTCACACAGCCCGAGATGTAGAAATTTTGCCCATTCTTGGATTGTGGCAGCGATTATGGGTGAATTCAGAACCCGTGGTGAAAATGGAGGGAATGTGGGGAATGCACAGCCAGCAACATCCTCTCTTGTGCTCCCACAGCGAGGGGACGCCCAGTGCCAGCGTGGCATTCCTCAGCCTTCCCTGGGGCTGCCGGGACCCTCTTTCCTGGCGGCATGTGATTCCCTCCGAGGGCTGTGTTTCTCCCAGGAGCAGGACAGAGCTGCAGGGCACAGGACTGCAGGCAAAAGGCCATTTCCGTGTCACCAGAGGGATGTGACACTTGGTTAAGGCAGCAGAAGGAGGGTCGGGCCGTGCTGTAGCAGGAGGCTGCAGGGAGAGTTCTCATTCCTGCGCTGGGATGGTGCCCAGGGTCCTGCAGGCTCCCCGGCTGCTCCGGCCAGAGCAGGGCTGCAGGATTTCACTCACACCAAGCTAAAGCTTCCCTTATCCCCCTCTTCTTTTGCGTCATTCTCTGAAAGCTTTTCCCGCAGCTTCACTGTGACCACCTCTTGCAAACTGGAGGCGACTGGGGGATTTTTTAATGCCTTTCCTCAAAATCCCAGAGCCAGCTCGTGGGACAGTCTGTACCGCTATCCCACACTTCCACCCACCCCATTGCAGCCTACCCCCCCACACACACCTCTTTCTCCCATGCCATAACCCTCCCCCGATTTTTTTTTTTGCCCAGCCAGGAGGCTGCAGGACCCCAAAATCCCCCCTCACCCTGCTGCAATCTCAGCTCAGTCTCCACCCTGCCAACCCCGGGGCCCCCCCTTACCTGCGGGGTCGGGACACGGCTTTGCTCGGCTCCCTGTGCACCTCCCGGTCCTGCGGAGGGGGTATATAAGGGGCCGGGGAGAAACTTCTGGAAACTTGGGAAAACCCTCTCAAAAATGCTTGGGAGGGAGAGGAAGGGGAGGATCCGTCCCGGCTCTCTCCCTGCCCGCCGCCAATGGCAGGGAATGCCGGCCCCGCGCCGCCGGAGGGGGGTCGGGAGGGATGGGGGATGCGCGCTCGCTCCTCCTGCCCTGCCTGTCCCCAGCCTGTCCCCAGCCTGAGCCCAGCCAGGCCTCCAGCAGGAACGTGGGGAACTATTCCCTGCCCAATCTGTGCTTTTGCCTTCTTACAGGGGCCCATCTTATTTCGGTCCTTTCCCTGCCCCTGGCATCTCCTGCAGCTGGATGGTTGTTGGCACCAAAGGCAGGTAGTGATGTATTTTATTTTTTTTCTTTCTGGACTGTCACCCTCCATATGAAGTCAGGGGTGGTGCAAAGGGCTTCAGCCACGACTAGAGCAGTCACAGGCAGCCAATGTTTAACACCTGCCCCATCCTGAAATGTGAATCTGAAATGTGCCCTGATTGGTGACCTCCAAGAGAGAAGAGAAGGCTCCAAGGAGAGATCAGAGCCCCTTTCCAGTGCCTAAAGAGGCTCCAGGAAACCTGGAAAGGGAGTTGGGACAAGGACTGGAGGGAGAGGACACCGGGAATGACTTCCCACTGCCAGAGAGCAGGGCTGGATGGGATATTGGGAAGCACTCTTGGCTGGGATGGTGGGGGAGCCCTGGCACAGGGTGCCCAGAGCAGCTGTGCCATGGAGAGGTTTCTGCTGAGTCACAAGTGTTGAAGCTCAGATTCAACCCTGCCATGTTTTGGGACAGCACAGGATTGTTTTCATGGCAATCTGGGATGTAGGGATATTTGAGGTACCACCCCCCTCATGGATGGTTACATCATCAGAAGGATGCTTCATCCTTGTGTTCTTTAACTGATGTCTGTGTCTCCCTTTTAATCATACTGGCATTTAATTTTTCTCCCTAATTTTGGCTCTGCCAGGTTTTTGTGCTTCTCTCTGAAGACAGGAGTCTCAGCAGGTCTCAGCCTCCTGTTGCTGTACTAGCAAACAGCATCTGATTTTTCCTTCTGGCTTTGAAAATCCTGTGTGTTGTCTTGGAAGCATCTTGCTTTGGAATCACCATTGCATTCCCCTTCATCCTCAACCTGTTCTAGAAGGTAGCATCAAAAAGTGACATTTTTCTTCCATTTGACCTGTTCAGACAGTGCCACGTGACTAGATACTTCTCATCTCAAACAAGGGGAGATCTTTGAGCCCTCCCTGTAAAAACTGTTTCCATCAGCTGCAACGAACCTGGTGCTCTGTGATATTTAGAGATCTGGACTCTTCATGAAGGGATTCAGTGGGAAAAATAGCTTTGGAATACCTTAAGCAAGAGATTTTGGTACACTAGTGTTTTTTGGTGCAGTTAGCTTTGCTTTATATCTGCATAAATGATCAACAGCAGGGTCTCGGAGTTTTTATTGCACAATTTTGGCTTTATTAAAAATGAATTTGCTGATATCAAACCATCAGTACGAAAGTAAATGTTACTGGTCTGTACCAGCAACATGTGCTAGCTGAGAAATGAGAAATGCTCCTTTAAACCTCCACCATCAGCTGTTTTTCTCTGCCAAATTCTGAATTGCTCCACCTTCAAACCCTGCTCTGTAATTACTTCCTATGTAGGATTTTTTCACCTTCCAAGTGAAATCTAAAATAAACTCTTAAACTTTTAATCTTGATTTCTTTAACTGTCTCGCAGCACCAAAGTATTTTGGGGGCATTCTGGAGTCTCTATGCTTCAGTCTTTTGAAATGGCTTTGCCTCAAGAACATGAATTTGGAGTAGAATGAAAATAGTTGGGTTTGAGGGCTGGCAGCCCAGCATAAAGATATTTTAGATTTTTGCTGATTTTTAAGTGTATATTTTAACCTATTCCCAACACAACCTGGTAAGAGCCCCTGCAGAATTTTGGGATGTGAATATGCAGGAAAGGAGTCAGTTCTACCAAAATGTCAGCAAACAGCTCCAACTTGACAGTGAACAGTTTTGTCCAGGGCCAAAGTTGTGGAAATCAGGCTGATCTGCATTGCTGGGGAGGATTCTTGCTGCTCTCCAGTGATTTCCAAGCGGATCCGGCTATGAAAAGGCGCTCCCAGCCCCCACAGTGCCACGTAGGAGCTCCTCCAGCGGTGGGATGGGGCTGGGAAGGGGGAGCCAAACTGGGAGTTGCCTTCTTCCGTCTCCCCTGCTCATGTAATGAGCGGTTCCAGCTGCCAGAGGGACACATCCACTCCTCCAGCCCAGCTCCTCCCCTCCAAACCGCACTTGCGCGGGGCAGAACTCGAGTTTCTTTTGTCTGGAGTTATTTCCAGCATGGGTTGACCTTGTGGGTTTAGGGCAGTGCAGAGGCACTGAGCCTTAAATTAAAATCCACCCAAAGGTTTTGTGATGTGGGTGTGATCCTACAGCCCCCACAGCAAAGCAGAGGGAGATTTCCAGGCTGGTTTTGCAGTGCTTGGAAACGGGTGTGGAGGAGCTGCTGGGATGGAGAGCAGTGAAATCCGACGGTACCAGGAGTTCAGTTCTGTGGGAAACAGTCCATGGCCAGCCATGAAACATCCGGACTGGTGCTGTCCTGGTTGTTGGGCTTCTTGTTTCAAGCAGTGTTACTAATCCCCTTGATTATCTATTGAAGGAGTGGTTTATTTCTACGAAAGCAGACACTGTGTGTTCTTTGGACAGTACTTTTAAAAATATAAACTCCAGCAGCTTTGCATTCTCACCTTACAGTGACCCAGGAGACTCATCCTGTTTTCCTGTGCTGGAGACAGTCTGTCATCTGTGCTGCTGTGAGGCAGTGCTGGTGCAGGATCTCTGCTTTTCAGGATCATGGCTGAGGAGGGTAGGGATGCTGGAGCCAGCACTGAGGAGCCTTAAAATCACCCCATGATCAGGGACACCTTCCACTGTCCCACTTTGCTCCAAGCCCCATCCAACCTGGCCTTGGGCATTTCCATGGATCCAGGGGCAGCTACAGCTTCTCTGGGCACCCTGTGCCAGGGTGTCACCACTCACACAGGGAACAATTCCTTCCATATCCCCTCTAACCCTGCCCCCTGGCAGTGGAAAGCCATTCCCCCTTGTCCTGTCACTTTCTGCCCTTATAAAAAAATATATCTCTCCCTCTTTTTCAGGAGTTCCCTTTAGGCAGTGGAAGGGGCTCTGAGCTCTCCCTGGATCTCTCTCTGCTCTAGAGCTAGTCAGGACTTGCTCCTCCAGCTCCTCACATGCAAAGATTTTGGGGGAATTCTGCTTCTTGGCTCAGCTCAAGGACAAGTTTGGGTTCAGCACTTTAATTTCCTCCCTGCACACCCTCCTTTGGCAGTGGAGCTCATTCATGTAGCCCCAGGCAGCGTGGAGCCGTGGCTTTGCTGGCAGCAGTGCCCTGCACTGGAGTGGGATCCCAGCCCTTCTCCCTCTCTCTGGCTCTCAGCCATGCCCAGCTCTGGCCTGGCTGGAGCTGGGAGGGCCCAGCTTTGTGTGAGCAGACAGCACACAAAGGATGGCAGTGGAGCTGAAAGGCTGCATCCTGTGGATCCGTGCCCTGGCCTGTCTGGAGTGCAGCAGTGAGAGCCAAACTCCTGTGCCAGCCTGCTGTGCCCAGAGCTCCAGGCTTTCACGGAGCTCACTGGGTTTACATGTCCTAAAGGGGCAAATTTGTGGATTGTCTGCAAAGCACTGATCTCCGTTTGCTTCCTCAGCAGGTTGTGGTGGAGGAGGAAGAAGAAAAGACCTGATTGTTGTGGAGCAGATTCCCCATAAATGGCATCATTCAGGTATGTCATGGTGCACAAACCAGGGAGGACAGGCTACAGAGGCTGCAGCTGCAGCTTTCCCACAGGGCACAACAGAGAGAGATTCCCTTGGTCCCAGTTTGTAATCCCTGTTTAATACTCCCAGAGAAAAGTTCAAAATCCACAGGGTTTCCTGCCAATACAGCGAGGCAGGGGGGTGGAATTCCTCTGGTGCTTTGGGGTGGAAAGAATGACATCTGTGTGGCCTCAGCAGAGGGCCAGCACGGGTGTTGGCAGGTTGGATTGCAAGCCCCTGCATCCCACACCTTCCTGGGAGCTGGGCTATGGCAGGAGAAGATGGAATCCTTGTGGATGTGGCAGCAGGGATTTGCAATCCCTTGGGAGGACCCACAGGGCTGTGGGGTCCTGACCTGTTCCTACACTGATCCAGGAGGGCTGGTCTGGGGTTGTGGTGAGCCAAGGGGACTCCAGGATGCCCTTTTCAGGCTAATGTTTGGACTCTGTGGTCCTAGTGGACTTTTCTAACCTTAAACTCTGTGTTTCTAAGATGAGCACTGGTGATGTGCACTCCTTACCCTCTCCTTTCTGCCTCACAGTGACTGGGACTGGCTGGATCCTCCCAAAAAGCAGCCAAAAGGAAAAACCAAGTGCTTGGTTTGTCAGCCACATCAGCCCCATGGGCACAGGGGCCATCTTAAGGACAGGATGTGAGAGCACCAGGGCTTTGGGATGCTGCAACATCAGTTTCCTCACTGGAAACAGCAGCAATTGAAACCAATTCCAGGTTTCACCCTTTATTACAAAATACAAGCAGAGAAGGCCCAGGTGCTCGATCTGCTCTGCACAGAGTGGAACTGTGGTGGGGCACCTCTCGTGTTAAAAGGTGTAGTGAGCTCTCCCCCGTCTCTTCCTGGCATTTTCCAGGAGCATATGGGAATGTGAAAGGTCTGAGCTCTGCCTGCCCTTCACATCTGGTGGAAGGCTCAGCCCCACACGCTCCCCCCTCAGGAAACCGGGATGTAAAAGAAACCGTTTATTCTGGAGCCAGCTGAGGGAACAGAACCGCCCCTAAACCCGAGCCTGGCTTGAGGGCTCCTCAGCTGGCCAATCCTCTGCTTCCAGCACAGCACTGCTCAGGGCTGGGAGGCGGGGTGGGCCCAGCCTGTGCTGTGTGTGCAAGTGTGTCACACAACTGCCTGTCTCCCCAGTCCTACTGCTGTCCCTAAAAGTCTTCTCCTTGTTGGGAATCAGGTTCCCAACAAGCCAAGCCCTGAAACTGCTACTGTTGATGGCAGAGGAAGGAGGGGGCTGAGTGCAGGACAGGGCTGGGGCTGCTGGGTTTGCTGCCCTGGGCACTTTGAGAGGTTGGTGCAGCAGTTTGAAGGCAGGAAAGGAGGAGGGGAGGGATGAATCCCAGGAAGGATTCCTGCAGAGGCCCAGCAGGAACAAACACTGTGTGCAATCCTCCTCAGCCAAGTGCTGAGGATATGTAAGCAAAGGGATGCTTAGGAAGGGCCTTGGCATCCTCTTTGTCTATTCTGCTCTTGCAGAGGCAGCAGAAAAACTGCCCAGGGGGATACAGCAGGAATCACAGACTGGTTTGGGTTGGAAGTAATATTAAGGCACATCCAGTCCTACCTCTGCCATGGGCAGGGACACCTTCCACTATCGCAGCTTGCTCGAAGCCCTGTCCATCCTGACCTTGGGCATTTCAGGGATCCAGGGGCAGCTACAGCTTCTCTGGGCACCCTGTGCCACGGCTTCCCAACCCTCCCAGGGAACAATTCCTTCCCAAGATCTAATCTAAATCTCTGCTTTAGTATAAAACCAGATAGGAAAAGGGGTTTCATGCTTCCCTAGTTTCCAAGGACCATGGTTGCCCCAACCCTGGGGATGTTACACTGATCTGATGGGGGCAAACCAGTTTGTGTTCAGATCTGAGCTGCTGCAGCTTTGCTTGGGATGACAAAATGCAACAACCTGGGAAGCAAATGTCCCTTGCCATAGGTCCAGATTGGGTCGGGGGGCTTAACCCATAACGTGGCAGTTTAGGATGTGTCTGCAAGAGGCTAGGATGTATTCCAGAATGTATCTCCAAGGCCAGAGACCCTTTGGAAACAAGTGACATCTTCCCTTTGTCCCCACAGGAAACTTCACTTAGCCTGAATACTCCTGCCTACTTCACATACACCAGCATAAAATTGCAGTGTGCTTTTCCCAGTTACTGTATAGATTCCCCATGAAGATCTGGCAGGGAAGAAGTGGCAGATTTGTTGAAGATTCAAGGAGCCCACATGATGCAACCCCACTGCATTCTTGCAGAGCAACGCCTGCTCCTGGGAGCTTCAGAAGGAGCCACTCACATTTTATTCCAGCTTCCACTGGGCTGCATCCACACATTAAAGCCTTCCCCAGGGTCACATCCCTGTCCTGCCACAGCTCCTGGTGTTGCAGAGCCACATTCCTGCCTCAGGGATGTTAATTTTAGAAACAAAACCCACTCTCTCTTTTCCTTTTCCGTCTCTTGTAATTTGCAGGGAGGAAAGTTGTGGATGGTCCAGTGAACTTTTCCCTGTTTCCCATTTCAGAATGAAGCTAGAAGGGCTTTTTCCTGGTCTTGCCAAATGCATTTAGAAACTCACAGGCATGTTTAGTTTTGGGAACAGTCATGCCTTTGGCAGTAAGAACAGCAAATATGGATCCTGGAGCAAGGGAAGCTCCGTGGCTGTTGGATGGGATCTGCCAGCTGAATCACACAAGGCAGATCTGACTCATCACATCAGAGCTGCATCTGCAGATGTCCCAGGATTTTATAAAGTTGGCAAGGCTGATTATCCTCTGTAAAAGCTGGGGAGACTGAGGCATGGAAGGTGAGTTTGGGGCGTTATCAGAGACAGGCTGGTTTGTGCTGCTTTCCTTCTCCACAAGGATGCTGAGGACTTGACAGGGAGTCCCAGAGGCATCTTCTCCCTCTCTGCACAGACAATCTGCTGAGGGCTGGGACCCCAGGATGTGGAGTGTGATTACCCCAGCTCCAATCTCACCCAGCAGAGATGGATCTCATGGCCAAGGGGCTCTCTGGATTTATAGAGCAGCCTCTGTATCCTTGTCTTTTCTCCCTGCTCCTGGTTACTCTGCTGTAACGCCAGGCAGGAACAGGCTCTGCTTTGTGTTTTTGTAGCCTGTGGGACCATGATTGATGCCTTTCTCCAATGTGGATGCCCAAACTGTGCTTCCCACAATGGGAAGGGATGCAGGAGCTGCCTCTCTCTGCACCTCCAGGGAGCACACTGCAAGCTCCTGGCCCAGCACTCAGCACACTGAACATCTCCTTCATGTCCCTGGATCTGACAGGCTATTCCCAACACTGGAGGAGGCATCAGAGCTGCTGAATTTGGCTTTGTACAGAAGGTCTCTTGTTCAGCCTGGGGCAGAGGTGCTTGGGAGAGGTGGGGTGGGAGGTTTAGATGAATGAGCATCATTGTTTCACTCCTGATTCCCTTCAGGAAGGTGCTGGATGTTTCCCAGCTGTGCACAAACAGCTTGGATTCAGTCTTTGAAATCATTTGTACTTCTGTAATCTAGGCTCTGACGTCAAGACCTGAATCCCCCTGGGATCACTCCTGGTTTGGGACCCAGGGGATGCTGTGGTTACAAAGACACATGTGAATCAAAGCCTCTTACAGCTGCCGTCCTCCTCTCCTGCGTGGATCTGCCTTAGCCCCATCCAGTTGGGAATTATTTCAAGCTCCTTTGCTGCCTGAACACAGAGAAGCAGCAGCAAAGAACTTAAGGCAGCTCCTGAGTTTTGAACGTTTCAGGATGCAAGTCATGGCTGTAGTTCAGTGGGAAGGAAACACTCAATGAACTTCCAAGGGTTTCTGTTGGATATGGAATACCCAGTTCTGGTTGTTGTAGTTTCCAATGACAAAGCTGTGTGCTGGACATGCAAAATAATGGAGAAAATGCAATTTGTACATTGTGGTGTCTTCATTTTCCAAATTCACCTCCCCAAATTCAGAAATACCTTCAGTGATTGTGATGGTGCTCATCTTGATGAATTAAAAGTTTAACTATGATTTTCTTCCTAATTCCAGTTAATAGAGAAATTGGAACTGCTGGAGGCAAGTTCATCAAATGTGGGATGCACAATGAATCCACTCTGGGCTCTGTCTCTGATTCACCACGTGACATGAATCTAGTAATTTGCCTCTGCCTGAAGCTTTCCTGACTTCCCTGGTATTTGCAGGAAGGTCCATGGTTACCCTGTGGAAGCAGGTATGAAGTGGGGCAGGGTGGAGGGACACCCAAAAAGCCCTGCAGGAATCTTGGGCACCACGGGGCTGGTGTAGAGTCAGTGCAAACAAATCCTTGTGTACATGAGAAGTGCTGGGCTCATGGCATCGTGCACTCCAGAGGTCCTTTAGGGCCTCATCACCTGTGTTGTCCCATTAGCTGGAAAATCTCAGTGCTCTGCCTTCAGCTAAACAGGTAATTGTGTGCCTTGATGCCATCCCTGGGGCAGCAGGACCACTGTCCCTGAGGGTGGGATAGGGTGAGAAACCTCCTCCAGCCTTGCCTGCCACCAGGGTTTCTGTCTCCAGTCCCAGCTCCAATCCCACGCCCTGAATCCTGTGCTGGGAATACACTTCTGGCTCTGTGTGGCTGTGGCCATGAGTTTCCCATGAGTTTCCCATGCTTCAGAAAGTGCCAATAAACACAATAAACAGTACAGCCCCTGCACTGCTGTCCCTGAGCTCCTCAGGTCCCCAGTGCTTAAACACTTGGGAGAATGAGAACATTTAGGATTTCTGGGCTGCAGACGTGTCAGTGTGGAAAAGGCTGCACCGAAACAGAGATACCAGCGGAAATAGATGGATTTAAAAATAGTGGAGACAGAGAGGGGCTGGCTGGGATTCAGGAGCTACAGAGAGCACACAGATCCAATAAGGGCGCTGCAGGACTCGTTTAGACCCTGCTCCCACCCACACCAGCCCTGGGCACAGCTTCCCCTGCAGAGACTCCCCCGTGGCCCTGGCACTGCTCCCCTTTTGGGGCTTCCCCAGGGAGCAGTGCCCAGCCGGGATGCCACCCAGCTCCACGACATCCCCTCCGTGCATCCCCAAACCCAAAGCCACCCCCCGAGCCCCAGGGAATACCGGGAATCTCTCCCCAGGCGGGCAGGGACATTGCGTCCTCCCGCTCCGTGTCCCCGTGTCCGGTCTCGCTGCTCCCCCCGCTGCCCGGCCCCGGCACCATCCCGGGCTGGCTCCAGCCTTCCCCAGACACCAGTCCCGGGAGGAGGAGCAGGAAAGGCTCGTTCTCCACCGCACAGCCTCGGGATGTGCCCCGGCAGTGCGTCCTGGGAGCCCCCCTCTGCCAGGGAGAGGTGTCTCCCCTTCCACTTGCCCTGGGAATGATGCTCTTCCAGGCCAGTCCTCCCTGCTGGAAGGAGAAAAGCAGAGCCAGGAGGACTGAGGCTAGCAGGGGCCAGGAGGGAGAAAGGGAAGCAAAGATGGATGTAGAAACCCCTGGCGTTTTTGCTTGTTTGTTGGTTGTTTTTGTTTTGAGTTAGAAAGGACCTTAAAGATTACCCAGTCCCACCCCTGCCATGGGCAGGGACGCCTTCCACTGTCCCACCTTGCTGCAAGCCCCATCCCTGGAAGGGAAACATAACTTATTTGAGACTCTGCCAAATATAATTTCAATTGTGATTTATTAGACTTACCACTAGAAATAAGACGATAATAGTATAGATAACTCCAGACTGTGGGAGCATGGCATGGGAGCAACATGACAGGAAATTCCTTATGTCTTTCCAGGTTTCAGTTTCAAAATTGCTATTCTGCCTGGGAGCAGAGAGAGGGAGTCCTTCTCCTTCTCTTTGAGTGATCTGTAGGATCCTCTTCTCCTGAAAAGGATTCCCCAGGCTGCCCAAATCCCATGAGGATTATCTAAACTGGTCTTCTCTTTCCCATGCCAGGAGTCTTTCCTTGTCCAGGGAAGGAAAGAGAGAGACAAGGATCTGCAGGAGAAATCTTGGCAGACAGAAGGTGGGGATGGGAGTGACTTAGAGCAGCTCTCATATAAAATCACACAATCATAATGGCACAGAGTGGTTTGGGTCAGAAGGGACCTTAAAGCTCATCCAGTCCCACCCCTGCCATAGGGAGGGATACCTTCCACTGTCCCAGGTTCCAAGCCCTGTCCAACCTGGCCTTGGACACTTCCAGGGACCCAGGGGCGGCCACAGCTGCTCTGTTTCAGGATCATGTCCATGTGTCCCTAGGGATGTACCAGGATGCACAAGCAATCCCTTTAGCAGGGAAAGGGAAGGGCTGGCTTCTACAAGACACAAGGCTGGAGCCCCCAGGGGGGGCTTGCAGTGATACCCTTCATGTCTCCCACTCAGCTCTGGTCCAGAACTGCAGCCTCCCAGCAAACAACACCCAGAGAGGGGGTTTGGCTGGTAAGGAAGTGTTTTATTTCCTTTAATTACCTGGATATGAGCTGGATGGAGCCCAAGCCTATTCTTGGTCAGCAGCGAGCCCCGAGCTGTGCATGATCAGAGCTGACAGCCCCAGTGGTGCTGGTGCCAGTGCCAGCAAACCCCACTGATCGACCTGAAAAACCCTACAGGTCTGACACAAAACATTCATGCTGAGAGGATGGATATTCGAGATGAAACCTCAGCAGCAGGCCCTGCTCAGATCCCCTCCTCTCCTGAATTTGCAATTGCCAGCAGCGAGGAAAATCTCCACAGAATAACTCAGGGATTGCTTAGAGCCCCTTGCATTGGGATAACCAAGTGAAGCAGCAAGTTCTACCCTGTATCTATCCAGGAGAGACAAATTAGAGCCTGTCAGGGTTCTTAGAGCCTGGCTGGGGTGATTTACCAGGCATCTGAGTGCCTGTGCACACAGCTGCAGATGCCTCCTGTTTGCCTTTCTTCAGGACATGCTGCCTCCGACAGGGAGCTGCTGGATGAAGGAGGAATTAAAGGCATTTGTTATTCCCTGACACAGTCCATCACCAGGCTGCCTTCCCAAGGAACTGCAGCTCAGGGGCTTGCCTTGGAGGGAGGAGCTGCTTTATCATGGCATGGCAGCTCGCCCAGGGAAGAGCTGGGAGACAGCTGGGATTTAATCTCAAGCCGGAGTTCTGCTCCTGTGGGGAGGCCAGGGGTCAGAGAGATGAGCCAAGCTGCAGGAGGGAGGCAGGGAGGGGGTTTCACACTGCTGTAAGCACTCCAGCAGTGCCTCCCCAACCCAGCCTGGCAGCCAGGACCCAGCCCCAGCGCTCTCATCCCAGTTCCCAGAGCTCTGTGCCCTCTCCTGACCTTGGCTCATCAGGAGCACGGAGCTGGTGATGCTCTATCAGCTCCATCCCATGCCTGATCCGTGTTTGCTGCCCACCCTCTCTGCACCCCCATGTGTTTCCCTTGGGGAGTCCTGTTCTGTCTCCAAACCCCTTCTGCTTCCAAAGGATTTATTTCCACGCTCCCAGCTCCCCTCTCCATCCTATAAACGGAAAGGCTTAGGCAGGCACTGCTGCACATTTAAAGCTGTGTGACCACGAGATTTGCTGCAGCCAGCCCAATCAGCTGATCCAGCCACACTCACTCAAGGAATTTTTTTCCACTGATGTCCAAGCTGTGGCTGCACAGAGTGTGGGGGGGGGGGGGGAAAGGAAGACTTGGTATGTTTGGGATAACTGCTGAAGGAAAAGCACGCCTGGAGAGGGGGGCACATCTCTGCCCTTCCTATATCCTGAGCTGCTACGTCTGTCAGGGTAAGCAGTTGTAGGACGAGGTTATGAACCAAAAGAGAGTGGATTTAGATGGGATATTTGGAAGGAATTCTTGGCTGTGAAAGTGGTGTGGCCCTGGCACAGGGTGCCCAGAGAAGCTGGGGCTGCCCCTGGATCCCTGGAAGTGCCCAAGGCCAGGTTGGACAGGGCTTGGAGCAAGCTGGGATAGTGGAAGGTGTCCCTGCCCATGAAACTGGATAAGCTTTAAGGTTCCTTCAACCCAACCAGTCTGTGATTCTCTGTTATTTTCCTGAAAACCAGGCCCTCCTCTGGACTCTTTCCTTCCATCTCCAGCTATCAAAGATCGCATTCCAGGTTCTGTACCTTGGGAAATTGAGGTGTGCCCCCAAAGCTCCCCTGAGCCTACTAAATCCCACAGGGCTGAAACCACTGCTGTTGTGTGAATCCCACAGGGTAGCTCCTTCTGCTGTGGGCTGTGGGGCCAGGCTATGCCTGGTGGCCATGGCAAGAGGCACCTTCTGCCCCTGTGGCTTTGCCACTTGGCCTGGAGGAGAACTGGAGCTGGGAAGTGAGTGACTGCAGCTTCAGCAGATGGCTGTCCATGAATCATGGCTACCTGGCTGTGTGGTCATCCTGGATGGCTCCTGCTGGACCTGTTTGTGCACATGCAGCTCAGCTGAGCTTTCCTAGGAGGGCTGAGTTCCCTCACATGCCTGCCCAGCTCTGGTTGCACCTCGAGGCCACCACAGGGACAATTGGCACATGAGATGTCTCTCTTTGGATGCCCAGTCTCCCCACCCTCGTGATGGGGCAGCTCTGCCCAGTATTCCAGAATTCCCCTCCCCTCCTTCCCAAAACACACAGCTGTGGGGGAGTGGGGACCTCCTGGTACATGTCCCCAGCTGAATTCAGGGGATTCAGGGAAGATCTCTGCTTCTTGGCTGATCTTAAGCTGCCCTCACCCCTTGTTGCTGTGGGGGAAAATCTCCAGGCGAAGAGAGGGGCAGGAGGGGATGGGTGAGAGGGAAATTCCTGCCAGGAATGAGTCACGCCCTCGTGCTATGCCTGGAAAAAGCAACTGCTCCCATCCTGCTGCAGTGCTGGGGCAGAAGGGATCCCTCATTCCTTTGGGACCCCTTTAGGGACAGGCTTTGTATTTTCCTGCTTTAAGGTAAGTTAGGCTGGAGTTTCACCCAGTTTAGGGAGAAGCAGCAGAGCCAGGTATCAAATCTTAAATGACTTCCCAATTCCTGGCTGGTGAGGCACAAAGCATAGGGTGACTTTGTGTGGTTTACCCACATCCTTTGTGTCATTTTAAACTGAGGGGAGAGATTTTAGATTAGATATTGGCAAGAATGTCCTCCCTGTGAGTGAGGTGAGGCCCTGGCACAGGGTGCCCAGAGCAGCTGTGGCTGCCCCTGGATCCCTGGCAGTGTCCAAGGCCAGGTTGGATGGGGCTTGGAGCAGCCTGGGACAGTGGAAGGTGTTCCTGCCCATGGCAGGGGTGGAAATGGATGGTCTCTGAGTGCTTTTCCTACCCAATGCAAGAAAAAGAAAAAACATTTATTTCTGCTTTCCACCCTGCTTAGCATTAAATTTTCTGAAAGATTCTCCTGCACAGGAGCATCCTCCTGAACAATGTGGAATTTGCAGGAAACATCCCCTGTTTGTGCAAAAAGGCAAAACTCTCCTGTCTAAAAAAATATTTTTTATCAAGGAATACTGGAGATGGTTTAGGCAGAGCAGGAGCAGCACTAAACCAGCTTTGAGCTTGGCTTTTAGGCCTGTGATGGAGCTGCAGACCATAATCCAAACTTAACTTTGCTGGGGTGCAGGATTTGTGCTCGGGGGGAATAACAAACCACCCCCTCGGGCTGAATCTGGGGCTGATGGCTGGAATTTGAGGAAATCCTGTGTGTTTCTAATCTTAGGCTGCTTTTTTCCTGGTAGTTTATTCCTTTAAATAGAAGGGCTTACACGGGATTGACTCCTACAATCCTTATGGCCTGGCTGGGCTGTAATCTTTAATGGCCAGCGATGGGCAGGGATGTCACATCTCACATCCCTCCTGCTTCTGCTGTGAAGGGAAAACACCCAGGAGCCCTCACTTCCTCAGCTGTCACCTGGAGATCTGTCCCAGGTCCTTCCTGCCCCCTTGGAACGGCAGGGAAAGGACCCTGGTGTCTGACAGGACCCCAGGGAAGGGCTGGAGCTGTGCCAGGGCAGGTTTAGGTTGGAAATTGGGGAAAGGTTCTTCCTCCAGGGGTGCTACCCAGGCTCCCCAGGGAATGGGCACGGCCCTGAGGCTGCCAGAGCTCCAGGAGCTCCCAGGGATGCCCAGGGTGGGATTGTTGGGATGTCTCTGCAGGGCCAGGGGTTGGACTCAGCCATTTCTCAGGACTGAGGGAAGAGAAATGCCAAATATGATGCTCTGGCTCACATACAAAGCAGGTCAAGGAGCTTTGTCCCCACAGTTTGTAATGGCATGAGGAAACAGCTTTTTTAGGATGGCCAATTATGTATCTGAATGTCCATTTAAATTTCAGATCTCCAGGAGAACCATCCACCTCATCCCTGGCGAGCAGATCCGGGTTCCTCCACAGTTTCCCAGCAGGATTTGCAGTAGATGGTCGCAGACTGGAGAGCTTGGCAGCTTTTTCAGTGGTGCTGTTTGCTGCAGAAACTGGGTATGTTTACCATTTTATAGAATAATCACATCCTGATGAAATCCAGGATTTGTGCAGCCAAGCTGACTTTGCAAGTGCCACCACCCTTTGCAGCTGCCAGGACCCTAACCCTGGATTTCCTGATCCTCTTCCTCAGCTCTTCAAATCCTTCTTCCTAAACCACTCCTGAGCCAGAAGAGCATGTCCTGGAGGACAGCTCCCAATCCATTTTTCCCATACTGGGCAAGAGCTCCCACACCAGCATCCCCTTATCTCTGTAGATCCCTGTCCAGAGGGTCCTTGGCTGCCCCAGCCTGCCCTGACTGCCTCACCTTGCTGATGCATCTGCAGCCCTCCCTCAGGGCACAAGGGAGGCCAAGTGGAGCCTTTCCCTTCTCCCACCACCCGGTCTTGGAGCGTGTGGGAAGCTCAGTGCTCCTGGGAGGTTGGGATGAGTCAGTGTTTGCATGTCCTGAGTCACTCCAGGGAGTTGCCAGATGGTGGGGGGGGGGGGGGGGGGGAGGGGGATGCCCAGTCTCATTTGGGGGTGTAAATATCCCAGGAAGTTCTGTCTGAAAGAAAATTCCCATTGGGAGGTCACCACCTTGTAGGGTTGCTTCCAGCAGGGCCACCACCATAGACCAGAAGTGTCACCCCATGGGAAGAAGTTATTTCCTGCCCCTGCTTCCATGTGAATCCTTTCAGATGGCCCACAGCTGGTTATTTGGGAGGGGTGCCACATCCCCAACCCATTTGTCCTTGGAAACTCCCTGGGACATGCCTCTTAGCAGCTCCCTCAGAGCAAGTTTGTGAAACCAGGGCATCCAACACGCCAGGGAGGCCATGGAGAACTTGCCAGGCAAGTTCTCAAACCAGGGCTTTTGGGATGTCTTTTGAAAAGAATTGATTCCCAGTCCTCCCACCGTTTGCAATTTTTATCACTATTTTTGGGGGTTTTTGAGCTAGAGATGCTTCTGAGCTCCTGTGATGGCTTTGGGAGTGGATTGGCTCAGGAGTCCATCCCTGGTGCTCAAAGCAGGTTTAAGATTTAAAAGGGAGAGTGGACACCCTTGCTAACACCCACAGGCACCTGGATGTCCTCTGTGCCTTGATGAAGCCCCAGAGAACACCACAGAATACTTCTAATATACACCCAGGCTTTAGATTTTTACCTCCATTTCCAGCTTGAATGCAATAAATTCCAAGATCAAGAAGAGCTGGAAGAAGCACCCAGGATTTTCTGTTCTCAGAGTCCCTGCCTTTAACATGAACTAAATTTTCTGTGCTTGTTCAGAGCAGAGGCTGAGCAGGGAGTGAGGCCAGAAAAACAGGGGGTCATGTCAGACTTTCTTTTTCTCTCCTCTTAACACTGAAATAAAAATACATCCCAAGCTTGTTTTGGGATTAACAAGAAAAAATTCCTCTTGATGGGAACCATCTGTGGCCGGGAGATGCCGGCTGCTCTCTGCCTCCCACCCTCACCCAGACTCTGTCATTCGGGGTGTGTTCCTCTCCCAAATATTATTCCTCTCATCCCTTGTGCTGGTGGGAGGAATCCCAACTATTTAGGGAGGCTTTTCTCCCAGCATTTCAAAGCAGCAGCAGCTCGTGGCACCTGTGGAGGATAATATTTGCTCTCCTCATTACAGCCCCAGTGCCCAGCACAGCTTGCTGGTGGCTGCTGGGCTTGGAGGGGAGACACTGCAAGTGTCTTGGGTGTGACCTTTCCACCCCAGATGTCACCTCAGGGTCAAAGCAAACATCTTGAGGCCTCTCTGGCCTGTCCCACAAACCAGGAGGGGGAATCTTCCCCGAGGAGTGGAGATTCCCTGGTTGTGCCTCTGCTGTGCTGCTGGAAATGAGGGGTTGGTGCTGGTCCCATCATGGTGTTGAAGAATGAGGTGATTTCTGGGGTGGACCTTGGCCCCAGCTGAGGTTTTGGGGTGGGAAACACAACTTCTGGGTTGGGTTGGCAACAGGAGGATGAAGAGATGTATTTGCAGCATCAGAAAATCCAGAGAGATTTGGAGCAGAGAGAAGCCACCAAGGCCAGGAAAGAAGAGAGGAAGCTCAGGGTGAATCCAGCAGAACCCAGGGCAGGTCTGGCCCGGGAGGAAAGGCTGGAAGTGTTTATCTGTTCTCTCCATGCAGCTGAGGAGGCTCCCTGGCTGAAATGTTTCCTCCTGGGATCAGCTTCTGGCAGGTTGAGCAGGAAACTGGGAGCAAGACGAGCCCAACAGGTTCTGGGCTGTGAAAGCTCCTAGATGGCAGCACATCCTTGGCCTGGGATCCAAGAGCTGAACTGAAATGGGCCCAAATGAGCATTTTGGGGGCTTTCCCAAACCTGGCTGGATGAAGGATTTTTGTGTGAGCCTCGACATCTTCAGAGTGATCCAGGCCTGGCTTGGGAAGTGGTTTGGCTTAATTTGGAAAAAGGAGGGCAGGACATTCAGGCCTTGCTTACCCTGCTGTCCTGCTTGTCCTCCAGTGTGGGACCCAGTTCCCAGTTCCTGAACTCTCCCAGGACTGAGTTAATCCTCACCTCACCTCTCCTCCATGGAGCCCAGCAGGAGCTGGTTGGAGTGAAGGATGCTGCTCCCTCCTTCCCACTGGGGCTGGCACAAAACATCACAGTGGCAGTGGTGGATTTCATCCTCCAGCAGACGAAGGCAGAATGCTTTCCATCTTTGAGGCTGGAAAAATCCATCCCCAGACACGGACTTGTCCCTGCAGCTGGGGGTGCAGCCCACGCTCCCATCCCAGGAATGTGGGATGATCTGGTGCTGCTTTGCCCAGCCCTGCTCTGACCACAAGCTGGGAACAGGCCTGGCTGCTCTCAGAATATTTCATGGATCCCTGAATCCATGGCTATTGTAAGATGCTCACCCAAAAGCTGGTGTTGTGCAAGGAGGATTCATCTTTCCAAGATCTTTTAACAAATCCCTCCTGGGCCATATATACCCCAAAATGCCACTCTGGTTTTAACAGAGAAGGTTGTTTGTGCACAGTTGCTGATGCTTGGAAAGCTGAATGCAGGTGCTGTGCTTCATCCATCCAAAAGCAATTTACAGATTAAATTTGTAAAAACTTATATAAACTGTTGGAACAGCATCATGTACAACAACATTATATTGTAACAGGAAGAAAAATTGCTGGGTTTTTTTAATTTGTTGTTTTATTAGAAATAGAGGGAAATGGATTCACATAACATTTTTCAGACTGTGAGGTTTTAAACTCTGGGGGCTTAATTTCAGCAGTGTTTGTGCACACACACTCTATCTCAGGCAGGCTGAGCTGAGGCTGGGATGAGTTTTTCATCCCCTGTGATGGGGTCAAAGCCCACATCTCCATCCAAGAAAACGCCAGGATGGAGAGGATCAGAAAACTGATGCTCCCCCTGACCTGGCTGAATAACAGGGGCTTTGTTCAGGGATTTTATTTCAGTACCTGCAAAGAAGCTATGAGGAGAATGCAGCAGGTTCCTCCCGGCCTGGAGAAATGCAGAGATATCTCCAAAGGTGTTTAATATTAACTGGAGCAGGGCACATCCCTGAAGGGTTTGATTGTGAGCCTATCTGTGTTTGTATCCAAACATCACCTGCAAATCCATAGCGTGACCAGAGCTGGAGTGGGTGAAAGTCCTGGAGGGAGCTGGATCGATAATGGGTTTATCAATAAAGATCATCCTGTGCTGGCACCAGGAATGTGAACCACGAGCCCAGAGCTTCCTGTGCAGGCACAGAACAAAGGCCTCAGCCAAAAGGCTCTGATGAATGTGTTGGTGAAGAGAAGAGGGCTGGGTGGGCAGGGAGCAGAGGGAACAAAGCAGCCCTGTGTGCATAGGGCAGCCAGGGAGAACGCTGGGATTTGCCTTCCAGGGTGGATGTGATGGCAGCTCCTGCAGCAAAACCCACTGGGATTTTGACGCAAGCAAGGTTTGGCCTTCACACTCATCCTCTCTGACTCTTCTGGTCAGATGTTATCAGAAGCATTTTTTGATAAAGTTCCTTTTCCCAGGGCAGGGAAGTCTTGCACCACATCATGACAAATATATTTCTATCCTAGCTGTGTCAGCTGCATTTGTTTATTAAGTGGACTGCACTAGAAAATGCTGTTAAACAAATTTATTTAAAACCAATTAGTTCAGAGATGGCTTCACTTACGTGCCCTGAAGTTCTCCCAATATATCTGGAATCATGGAATCATTAAGGCTGGTAAAGACCTCCAAGATCATCAGGTTTAACTTTTGACCAAATCCCACCATGCCCCTAAACCATACTGTGAAGTACCACACCAACATGATTTTTTACTATGTGTTTTTCTTTTTTCCACAGATTTGTGTTTATCCTAAGCTTGGTACTGAGAGCAGGAGCTGGAGGTTATGGATGGCTTCATTCCTTCCAACTCTTTATTTAATGTGGGAAAAAATGCCAGCAAATAAAAGGTACAAGCCTGGGATACAGGACCAAGTCTTGTCACCAGCTCAGCTGGGGGACCCTCTGTGGCAGTGACTGTCCTTATCAGGACACTGCCCAACTCCCCTCCACCCAGAGGGCTCTGGATGCACTGAGCAGATCCATGTTTCTCCAGCCCTTTGAAGGCCTGTGGGGCCAGTCCAGGAGTTGTTTGCCCACGACAATAATATAGGGCAACATCCTTCAGGGCTTCAGAGGGACAGGAGGGGCAGGGTGCTCTTCATCCTGAGAAACATCAATGGAGACTGAAATTACTCACCTTGCCAGTGGGCCACCAGCACCACAAAAACTGCTCCTGGCTCCTCCAGATCTTCTGAATTTTATATTTATTGTATTTATTTCATGTTTATTTACCCTATTTCCTCCCCCACACCGCAGAAGTTCAGTGCAGTCATCAGGGGATGCTGAGGGTGACAGGGACCTGATTTACCTGCTCCAGTAATCCCTGCTAGTGACTTTCCTCATGTTTATGCACATCCCTCTTATCTCCTGGAAGGGGTTGCTGGTTAACTCCCCAGGAGCAGGCAAACACAGCTATCGTGCAAACAGTGTTTCCTGACTTGGTGGACAAAAGATATCTTCATTTCCAGTTGCGGGGTAACATCAAATTATCAAACATCAAACTATTTTCACCCTCAGCGATCTCTTCAGGGCTCACCAGTTCACCATGGCTTCTGCTGCAGGGATGGAGACCTTGCAAAGGTTTGTTGGGGGAGCCTGAGGAAGCAAAAAAAAAAAAAGTGAGAAGTTGAAGTACAGAGGACGTAACAGGAAAATGGCTCTGCAAACCCTCCGTGTGAATGCTGTTATGGTAAAATAATTATGCCTGAGTGGACGCTTACAATCAACACCCTCCTTGCACTTATTAGAGGCACAAAGGCCTTGCAGAAAGAGGTAGGGGAAAGGACCTTAATGAAAATACTGGCAGCACAAACACAGGAAAGCGCCGAGCTCCCTGCTGCTCACCCTGCATTCCCCGAGAGCTGGAGGGGCAGAACAATGGTGTGTCCCTTCCTTCCCCTGCCCGGGCTGCCGTGATGCTCCGGGGCAGCCCCAGCCGGGGTTTGCCTCCCAGGCTCCTCTGCACGGCCACAGCCACAGCCACGGCTCTGCTCCACTCCTGCCAGGCATCCCCCACTAAACCCAGCCTGCCTTCCTTCAGCCTTTATTTTCTCACTGCAAAATGGAGATGTTGGAATCTCCTGGCCTTGCTCGGTGTCACCGTCCAGGCAACAGGCAACTGATCAGGGGTTCCTCGCTCTGCCCCAGAAAAAAGCCATTGGGGAGTCTGCTGTGCTGTCATCAGACCCTGCCCATGAGTGCAGCAGCAGATGCAGAAAAGGGAACATCCAACGTGCTCTGACATCTCTGAGAAGGCTCCAGGGAGAGCTCAGACCCCTTGCAGGATCTAAAGGGGCTCCAGGAGAGCTGGAGAGGGACTGGGGACAAGGGGTGGAGGGACAGGAGACAGGGAATGGTTTCCCACTGCCAGAGGGCAGGGCTGGATGGGATATTGGGAAGGGATTTTTCCCTGGGAGGATAGAGAGGCCCTGGCACAGGGTGCCCAGGGAAGCTGTGGCTGCCCCTGGATCCCTGGAAGTTTCCAAGGCCACGTCTGGGTCATCTGGACTGCTCAGGAAAGTGTTTCTCCAGCAAAGACTTCCCCCACTGTGAGCCTGGGAGGAGGGAAAAGGGTTTTTTTTCTGCCTACAGAAGGCACAGCACTTTTTCTTGGAGGAGGCTGCTGAGTTTAAGGATGAATCAACCCATTCCTCTTGATCCCACTCTTGTAGGAAACTGCAGCATCTCCCTCACCATCCATCCCAACCAAAGACCAGAGCAGTGGCTCCTCTGAGGGTTTGCCTTGATGCCCTTCTGAGCTGCTAGGCTCGTATTTGCCTGCCAGGAAACAGAAATGTCCCTTCTGGAGGAATTTTCCCTTCCATAAGCACGTAACAAAATGCTTTCAGGATGTGGTGTGAAATCTCAAAAGTCAGCCCTGGTTTAGAGCTGAGCCAGGTCCTAAAGAAACAGTTTAAGAAGGGAATCCCACACAGGGAGTGTCACCAAGGTCCAGGGGTTTTCAGGAGGGCTTTACAGCTGCATCCTTTGGAAGTGAAGCTGACTGGAAATGTGAGGAATGAGCACAGCAGAAATCCCTCCCATGCCAAAGGGAGATATTTAAAGTAGCTTTGAGCATTCACACACGGGAATGCTCTCACACGGGACAAAAAGCTTATAAATCTGAAACCAACCTTCCTTGTCCAAAATTGCATGTTTTCCTAAGGGCTGCATGGAAATTCATGGTCAGTTTCCTTCAGTGACTTTTCTTTGAAGCTGCACGGCCCTTAGCAGCCAAAGTGCTGCTTTCAGGGGTCAAAGATGGTCCTTCTGCTCATCTTTGCTGTCCTCACAGCTGCTTGGAGGGGCTGGAGAGCAAATCCTTCCCCAGCCCTGCATCCTGGCACGATCCTGTGTCAGATTCAACCAGCCAAGTCACAGAAATATTCTGAAAATGTGCAAACTCTATTATCTTTTCAGAGGCATTTTCCTCAGCAAATGGACGCTGTAAAGAACTGACTGGCTGGTGCTGGGAGTATCTGCAGGATTTCTGGAACCTCACGAGTTTGAAGAGTGTTTCCTCTTGGTGCCAGAAAAAAAGATTTTTCCCTTGATCTCACAAAAGGCTGAACTCTTTCTGCTGAAGTTAAAAGGCAATCCTTAGGCCCAAAAGCAAGGATGTTTAAAGTTTGGCAAAGGCACCAGACTGTGTTACATGCCTTGGAATATCTGCATCTGTCCCGTCCCCTTCTGCACATCCACCCCCAAGCCTGCATGAAAACATATCCTAAAGCTCTCAGTGGACCCACAACCAGGCAGCAAATAAAATGCTCCCACAGGAGAGATTTTCATCAGGATTTAAGGTAATCACAGTTCTCGGGCTTGTGATTCTGAAATGTCTCCTGTCAGCAGTGCTGGAAGGAGAAGCACTTGGCAAAAGGCTGCCAGCACAGCTGCCTGTACCTCAGCCCTGCAGCTCCTCTGCTGTGCTGCTCATTGCTTGGGTCAGACTCTAAATTCTGATTTTTCATCTCCAGTCTTTCCCTACTGCTGGCTGCAGCAGGATTATTTCTGCTTCTCTGAAGAGAAGAGCCAGCGACCTCTCAGCTTAGTCTGCCTCAGTAAAGAGAAGTCTGGCATTTGGCTTGTGCTTGCTTGTTATTTTGACAGTACATCCCTTCCTTTTGCTCTGCTTGGATCAGTCTCTACTTCAGGGCTGGACCAAAAAAGTGGGAAATGGCCAATTTGCAGGGAAAAAAAGTGAATCCATTGCTGTCAGCCAAGTGTTTTGTCACCTTGCATCAAGAAGGGCAAAGGATTCACAGCCAGGACACAGCTGAGTTTTGGCCTCAGTGCTGGGCAGGCCTGGGCATCCTTCTCATCCCAAATAACCTGTGCTGCTGCAGTGTGAGGAAAACCAGTCCTGAGCATAGTGGAGATCAAACAAAACACTCATCCTTCCCCAAAAATGCTGCAGCAGGGTGGCCTCAGTGTGGAGATCAGGTCTGCCTGCACACTTGGGAGTTCAGGATCTAATGTAGGGCCAGGTGCAGGAGATAAAGGGGGTAGAAAAAATGAAGGGTGAGTTGGAAAGGTGGGGAGAAATCAGGAGGCTGCACAGCCCTGACCCTTTTTATCCATCTCTATCCACCCAGGTGGGAACACAACACATCCCTCCTGCCCCGAGCTGTGCCTGCCCCATCCCTGGAAGTGTCCAGCGCCAGGCTGGACGGGGCTTGGAACAACCTGAGATAGTGGAAAGGGGGGTTGGAATGCGACGATCCTGAAGTTCCCTTCCACCCCAGCCCATTCTGTGATTCCCAGGTGCTCGCTGCCCTTTAGGGGCTCAGCATTCCCAACCCCCCCGGCACAGTGCCAAGCACTCCCCAACCCGGGGTGCCCCAACCTTTCCCTTGCCCCCCAAAACCAGAACCCTTGCGGGGTTCGCTCGCAGCCCAAGAGAAAAGAACTCCCCACGGCTGGGTGCAGCTTCCTTTTCTTCTTCTCCTCCTCCTCCTCCTCTCGTCCCTCCGCTCCTCCCGCGCCGCCCGGGGCGGAGCCGCCCGGCCCAGCGCCCGCCCCGCTCCCGAGCCGAGCCGAGCCGGGCTGCGGGGCCGGGGCCGTGCCAGCGCCGTCCCTGCGCCCTTCCCTGCCGGCCCTGGCACTGCCCTGCCGCCGGGGCCGGGCTGCCCTTCCGCGGGGCTCGGGAACCCGGCGGATTTCCCGGCGGCTGCAGGTAAAGGGGAGGGGAGGGCTGCGCTGGGCTGGGGGCTCCCCGCATCCCCCGGGCTGCGGGGTGATGCTGAGCTGCTGCGGGTGGGACCGCTCTGCCGGCTCGGTCTCACCCCCACCAGGTGCTCCGCTGTCCGAAGCCGCGTTGCTTTGCCCCGAAAGGTGTTTCTTTTCCATGCCCAAAGGTGTTTCCTTGCCCCGTGTGCCCCCTCCCCGCGGGTTGCTCGCCCGGCCGCAGCATCCCGAGCGAAGTTGGGGGATGTCAGCGGGTGCTCCCGGTGCTGGGGGACGTGGGTGGGCACCCACCTGAGGAGAGGTCCCGGGGTGCCCCCTCTGGTCCCCGAGACCCCGAGAGTGTCCGGGTGTGGATCTGGACACGGCTGCTCCCCTTCAGGCCCTGCTCGTTTAACAGGGAGCGCTTGGCTTTGATATAAAATGATGGCATCTGCAGTGTCCCGCCGTCCCAGGGCTTCACACCGCTGTTGTCCGGAGCTGTAAAATCCCGAGGCAGCAGAATCCCAAGAGGGATTTATTTATTTCTTGTTGCTGGTCCAGCTGGAGGAGCGCTCGGTGCCCATCCGGCTCCCTGAGGATGCTCAGGGATGTCCTGCATGGCTCCTGGCGACATTGCCCGGCAGCAAAGCCTCTGTTAGAGACCCCGAATTTCCAGCGAGCGCTGAGCAGAGAGCGTGCATAAAGGTGAATATAAGAGGGCGCCACTTTCTCTTGATGCTTGGCAAATAAATTAATTCACAAAAAGAGTAATTCAGGGAAAAGAGGTGTGTGTGGGGGGAATCAATCATCTCGTTGCTTTTCTACTGAAACTCTCATCCACGTCCTGTCTGCTCCCCGCCCGGAAAACTGGGCATGGAGGAGTTGCAGTCAGCATGTGAGCCTTGCTCTGGGAAAGGGCTGCTGGAGCAATTCCTGGTGTGGAAGCTGTGAAATTTCACCCCTGGTGAGATGGAAATAGGGATTCTCCAGCCAGGAAAAACCTGGCTGTGTCGAACTGGCCGTGCTTTGGGATTTTAGGGCTGGGTCCTTACAGCCACTCTTGTTGTGTGTAATCCTGTTGGCTTAAGGGTTATTTTAGGGCTGGACAGGGATTAGGGATAGATGACAGGAACAGGCAGAGCCATGCTGCATGTGAAATTTAAAAAATAATGAATTATGGTTCTCTTTGCTGGCTCTTTGTCCTGTTGGGAAGGAGCCCATACAGATTTTTCTCCATTAGAAAGTTACACTGTACACAAAGAACGTTAAATCCAGGGTGCTGGAGTCTCCTCAGGATGCTCCAGCTGCCAGGAAATTAGATTGCTGCTGATTAGCAAGTACAAGTCAGAGTGGTGCTGCTTCTTAAAGAGCTTTTTTGGGGTTTCGATCACCCAGCCCCATGCAGGATAACAGCCCTCTCCCTTCTTTCCCCCTTACAGATTGCCAGCTTACACTTGGCATGTGTGGCTGGGGAAAAGCTGAGGTAAATGGATTTCCTGCCTCGCATTTTGTCTGGCATGTCCATTTTCCTCATCAGATTGCTATGGAAAATAGCCCATTAATTCATTAGCCAGCCTTTATCCACCTGAGCAGTGATGCATCCTGACTCCTTAAAGCCTGTTATTTTAACATACCCTCCTCTGCCAAGCTTTGAAACATCTTCACGCTGATATCCCAGCAATCTGGAGCTGCAGAATATTTCTCTGTGATTGAGGAGGTGCTTCTTCAGAGGCAAGCTCTGCTCTGAGGGCAGAGTTAATTTTAGAGTGGGTGTCTCTGTCAAGCTGTACTTTTTTTATGAAATGAGCTTGTTCTGCTTGTTACACTTTTCCTAGCGATGAATTCAGCAAAGCACGACTGGTGTTTGTCTTGGAAGGAAAATGAGTCTTGGTCGGATCTATTGATTTGGTGTCAGGTTGTAGATTCAGAAACTGCTGGCTCGGAATTAATGATAAAGGGTTTGGTTTTTAGCAAGGCAATGAATTGCTTTATAAACCAGGGAGGTTATAATGAGACACAGAACCAGCTGTGAAGGGACAACCCTTTGTTGTACTTTTACCCATTAACTGTGAACCCAGGTGTATTTGATCTCAAGTAACTACCTTAAAATCACCATGCCAAAATCAGTATATTTAGGGATGTCTTTTTGTGGGTTTTTAAATGGTTTTAACATGTGTGTTGGAGTAACTCACAGGTGCAAGTACTGTTGTAGGTGGAGGTTAAAGATGCAGGGAGCAGGTGGCTCCTTCACCCTTGTTCTGGGCTGGGTGTGAGGCTGAGCAGTCCCCTGTGCTCAGGAGAGGGCAGTGTCACACCAAGGAGCCCGTTCCTTGCCGGTGCTGAGGAGCAGAAGGAGTTGCCACCTCCTCCAGAGGGGTTCTGCACCAGGGTGGGTTTAGGAGCCAGGCACCTCATCCTCCTCCCTTCTTCCCACATGAAATATTCCCCTTCCAGCTCTGCTCTAGGTACCTAACAACCCTTTGCAGGAACATTCTGAGCATGCTGCTGGGAAAAGGGATTTAAAAGACTTTCTGGCAGTTGCTTTTGCCTGCCAGCCCCTCTATACACAGTGATTAGATACAGCTACTTTAGTGCATGTCTTAACTTTAACAAAAAAAAAAAAAAAAAAATTAGCTGCACATTGGTGTTTGGCTTTGCTGCTTTTTCCTCTTTAGCAAACCACTGTGTTCTCCCCACTTCCTCCAACAGTACCCACAGATACTGGCAGGACAACTGCCTGAATATTTGGTGCAGTAGTCTGTCATTGCTCAATAGCCTGACAAACAACAACAAAAATGTTTTATTTTTTTTATATGTAATTAAATATTTGTAGAAGATTTCTGGCAAGGAGTGGTTTCAAGGTACAGAGTGTTTCCTTGAAGGGTGATCAAACAAGGAGCTTCTGGGGTGACAACTGGGAAGTTTTTGTGCCAGTGCCTCCTTGCATTCCCTGTTTCCACATTTGGAATTCATTTCAGGTTGGGATTGAGCTCTGTTGTTTTTTTGTTCTCCTGGTCCTTGGGGTGGGATTGGTCCTGATGATGAAAAACTAAGATGAAACACGTTTCTTTTTGTGACTATTTTGTGTGTGTGTGACTCTTAATCTGGTTTAATTTCTTTTTTTCCCCTGCTGGATGAAGGGTGAACTGGAGATAGGAGAGGGGGGAAATTGCACCTTTCCTGGGGTGCTGCACAAGTCTGGGCACCAGCTCTGTCCCCATCTGTGCAGAGCCCTGCTGGTGGTTAATGTCTTCCTTGGAAAGAGCCTGGACTGGTTTTAGTGTAATTCCTTAGTCATGACAGACCTGAACCCTCCTGCCCTCTCTGTGTGTGTTGGAGCCACACTTTCCATGTGGAGCTTGGGGTCCTGCATCCTGGAGGTAATGGACTGTAAGTTTATTCTCTTCTTGGCTTGGAATACTCAGAAGAATCTGTTTCACTTTCAGAGTTTTGCCACGTGGTGCTGTGCCAAAGCAGCTTTTTCTCTCCCACTTTCTCCCTTAGCTGTTGGCTTGCCTTTATTTATTTATTTATTTTAAATCCTGCTGTTTCTCTTAAAATGCTGCTGAAAACTTGTAAAACCTTTTCATAGATGTCTGGCCCCTGTGTTTTGCTTCCCTTTCCTCCTCGCTGAGGTGAAATGAAACTGGTCCCTCCCCCAGCTCGAGGTAAAATGCACAGGGCAGAAATATTCTGGTCCTTGGCTGTTTTTAGCTGTGCTGAGTTTCAGGCTCACGTTTGCCCAGGGAAAGCGGTTTGTGTGTGACTGAAATAGTCCAAGGTGAAACCCAGAGTTTCCTCTAATAGATATTTTTGGGTGTAGCCTTTAAAAAAATGTAATGGACTGGCTGTACCCTTCAACATCCACGTGTTCTCTTGAGCCACTCTAGGAGATTATATTTGGGCCACTTAG